TATATATATATATATGATATTTAGGGCTGCTATATAATTTGGGGGGTGATAATGTAAGTGGCAAAGGTTTTAGTTTTAAAATTAATTTATTCATTGCTGGAACAGTGAGAAGCAGTTGATTTTTTTATATTCACTCTGTCTTAAGCTAACCAATTATTGACCCAGGAGCGTTTCCTCTCATTCCCCTTCTTCTCCCTCTCTTCCTTCTCCCTTCCCCATTTTTCCCCTTCTCTCTTCTCTATCATCAACTCTTTCAGATTTTCTACAGAGACATTGAAGTCCTCTGCAAACAAAGGTAGTTTTCTTTCCTCTCTTCTAACATGCTTGACTTTCATTTCTTTTTCTTGTACTACTGCATTAATTAGGATCGCCAGTATAACAAGGATAGGTAAGAGGAACCCTTGTTCTTTGTCTTTGGAAAGCTTCTAGTTTCTCACCATTAAGTATGGTGTTAACAGAGTTTCTTGCAGATATTCTTTATTATGTTAAGACACTTCCCTTCTGTTTCTCAGATGTTGAGATACTTTATGATGAATGGGTGTTGGGTTTTATCAAAAGCTTTTCTGTACCTATTCATAAGACTGATTTTCTTCTTTAGTCTTTATCTGATAATTTCATTCATTGTTTTCAGATGTTGAATCAAATTTGCATACCTGGAATAGTCCCATGGGATCATGACATATAATTCTTTTTATTCATTGTCAGCTTGAATTTATTTCTGTATTGTTGCGGGTTGTCAGTTTCTTATTGTTTTGTTGAGAGTTTTTGCATCTAAGGTCACAAAAGATGTTGATCTGTGGTTCTCCTCATCCTTTTCTTATGTTGATATTAGAGTTTCATGAAATGAGTTAAGAAGTAGTCCCTCTCCGTTTTCTGGAAGAGATTACAGAGAATGAGTATTTCTTTCTTGAATGTTTGGTAGGCTCTACCAGTGAATCACTCTATCCCAGTGTTTTCTGTTTAGTTATCAATTATTGATTCAACTTCTTTTCTAGGTGTACAGCTATTCCTATTGTATTTTCTTCTTATGTGAGCTTTGGAAGACTGTGTCTTTCATTCTGATAGTTTTTATTTCAGATATTAAGAATTTGTGGGGGATGGAGGTATAGCTCAGCAACAGAACACTTGCCTAGCACCAGGCCCTGGGTTGGAGCCCCAGTGCAATAAAAACAACAAAATATTTTGTATTTCCTCTTTCTCTATTTCTTCCCCCACCCCTTTCCCTCCCTCCCTCCCTTGCTAGAGGTTCCTTGACATCACGGATCCTTCAAAGAACAAGTTATTTCTCAATTGACTTCCTATTTTCAATTAAATTGCTTTCGATCTAATTTTTGCCTTCCCCTGTTTACTCTGGATTTAATTTGTGCTTCTCGTTCTTGTATCCTAAATAAAAGCTTAGATTACTGATTTTAGGGCCTTTTTCTTTTCTACATTGTATTTTCCTTGTCACTCAATTAAAAATATTTAAACTTTCTCTTGCGATTTCTTCTGTACCTAACCCATTCCTCAGCAGTGTGCTGATGGTGATTCCCAGTTATCTTTGTGTTACCGACTTCTACTTCGCTTTCATTGTCTGAAATCAGACATTGCATAATTTCTATTAATTCTTTAGGAAAAAAATAAAGTTTAACAGATTTTAATCTAGTGATTTAGAGCTCACACTGTGAACAAGACCCCTCTAAGTCCAGTCAATGCCTGTTCCACAAGTGCTGTGTTTTCTTGATGACTTTACTTCCTGAGAACTTCAGCTTTGTGTGGAAGCCAGTGACCCTCTATCAAGGTAATTGTTCACATATACTACCCTGCTGGACACAATTCCTCTCTCTTTTTCCTGAGATTGTAATTTGATGTAAAGCTCACTCTTCTCCTGGACCCTATCCACTCAGCTGTTATGAAGAATTCCTAGGAAGAAGCTGTGGATTTTGCAATACAGCTATTTGGGGTTCTTGAAGTAGTGGAGTGGGGTGAGGCATTGCTCCCAGTATCATTGGAACAGAGCTGGCAGCTTGATGATGCTCCCAGCTGCCACAGCTCTTACAGCCTGGAGCCCTTCCACAACTCTGACTCCAGCCTCAGACCCATCCTGGGCATGGCTCCAGGCCTGGACCTGCAGTCTCCTGTCCATTTGGCAGTACTAGGCCAGCCACTCCTCATTTCACTAGCTCTAGCATACAGCATGCTCCAGCCTAGAGCTGCAGTGAAGCGTGGGTATCTCCATGGCCACTGCTGATCTCACAGAGCCATCTCTCAAGCTGTAGCCCTTAGATCCAGTCGCAATCTCAGTTACCTCATCAGCTGGTGTGTGCAGGCCAGGATGCAAAGTCACATCTTCCTGTTTTGTTTGTGTGTGTGTGTGTGTGTGTGTGTGTGTGTGTGTGTGTTTTAAGCCATTTTGGGTCCAGCATGTAGTAAATAGAACGAACATTCCATATGAACTTGAAAAGAATGAGTATTTTTCTGTTGGGTGAAAAAGTCAATAGATGTCAATTCTATTCAGTTGGTTGATATTATTATAGAGTTCATCTATTTCCTAGATGATTTTTCTGCCTGGAAATTTGTTCCTCTCTGACAGAGTAGTGAAGTCTCCAGCTCTAATAGTGAGGATCATCATTTTTCATTTTTTATCTGATATGTTTTGATGCTGTCTTGTTAGGTGCATACACACGAGGGATTCTGTCTACTTGGGGAACTCTGTTAGTTTGCTTTCTCTGTTGCTATGATGAACCACTGACCAAAAGCAACTTGTGGAGAAAAGGGTTTATTTCATCTTACATCTTACAGTCTGTAATCAGGGAAAGCCAAATCAGGAACTTAAGGCAGGAGCCTGGAGGCAGAAGCTGAAGCAGAGACCATGGAGGAATGTGGCTTACTGTTTGCTTCTGCTCAGCTGCCTTTCTTATAAACCCAGGACCACCTGCCCAGGGATGGCGGTACCCATAATGGGCTGAGCTCTCCTCCATCATTTAGCAATCCAGAAAATGCCCCCCAGACATGCCCATGGGCCAGTATAATGAGGAAATTCCTCAATTGAGGCTTTCTCTTCTCAGACGACTCCAGGGTGTGTCAAGTTGACAAACACTAATTAGCTCAGGAAACGACTTGTTTATCACTGTATAATGGCTGTCTTTTACTCCAATGACTTTCCTTGTCATTGGAGTAAGTAAGTTTGTATTTACTCCTTTTTCTAAAGTTTTATCTGTTTGAATATACTGTGCCATAAGGGAGAAGACTGATCTGCCACAGAAATGGTAGAAACTATGACCAAGAGCCCCCGTGAATGCTGGAAAGTGTAGATAGTACTAAACCCTATATATGCTGTTTCTTTTATACATATGCCTGTGATAGATTTTAGTTTATAAATTAGGCACAATAAGAGGTTAATAACAATAACTGGTAATAGGACAGTACATTTATAACAATATGCTGTCAAATGCCAGCATCACTACTCTTGCACTTGGCAAACATCATTAAGTAAAATAAGCACCATGGGGAGGGGGGAAGCACTGTGAAACAATGTGTGATGGTTTAGATCTTAAATGTCTTCCAAAGGCCCATGTGTTATAGGCCTGCTCTACAATTTGGTGAAGTTGAAATATAATGGAAATGGAACAACAGCTTCTTCTCCTCCTCCTTCTCCTTCTCCCTTCTTCCTTTCTTCCTCCTCCTCCTCACCCTCTTCCTCCTCCTCCTTCTTCTTTTGAGACAGGGTCTCCCTGTAGCCCCAGCTGGCCTGGAACTCACTATGTAGACCAGGCTGGCCTCAAACTCACAGAGATTCTTCTGCCTCTGCCTCCCAAGTGCTGGGATTAAAGGCGTGCGCCACCATGCCCAGCTAGAAATTGAACTTCTTAAACCTACCCCTCAATTACAGTTCTCTCCCTCAGCCTCTCTCAAAGCATATTGACCGTAGTTTCCAGTTTGAAAATTCCAGCCTCCCTGCCATATCAGAGTCTAGTTCTGATACTCTGTCTCTTTAGACTAGTTTTTGTGTTTTAGGTTATTTTATAATTTTTTTGCTAGGCAGATATGATGTACTGGGGGAAAGCATGGCAGTGAGCACAGTGCAATGGTAAGATGCCCATGTGCAGGACTCAATCTTGTAGTCAGCTTGTGCCTACGGAGGGTGACATTTGTGGAGCTTCTCGGCCTCCCCTGGCCTTAGGTGGGATGGGATGGCTGGAGTGGGCTAGAGTTGGATGTTTCCTTTCCCCAGGGTCAGTTGGGCTCTGATAAGACCCAGTCATTCAGGCTCTGGTAAGATTGCTGCTCCCCAGGGCAGAGCTGGTTAGGAAGGGTAGAATGCTCTTGCCTGTTTCGAGGTGGTTTGTTTTCCCCTAGTCCTGCTGGAAGCTTGCTGAATAAGATTGCTGCTCCCCAGGGCAGAGCTGGTTAGGAAGGGTAGAATGCTCTGGCCTGTTTCAAGGTGGTTTGTTTTCCCCTAGTCCTGCTGGAAGCTTGCTGAGCCCTCCCTATAATTACCTTGGCGGGCACTGTCTGCATGTGATCCACAACGGAGTGCTGAGCAGACCACCTATATGGAACCCATTTGAGCCTTGAATACAAACTTTTTTCAGAGAAATCAATTTTGATCTTATAGAAGCAATATTGTTTCCTGAAAGAAAATGCAAATGTGACATTTGTTTATTCATATTTCATATATGAAGAGAGAATGACTAGAAACAGTGGTTCCCTACAAGGTGGTTGAAGAATGGTTTTAGTTCTCTGTGATGAGATGAGTGGTAATTTTCATTTTCTATTTTTTTTTCATTTTCCGAATTCTTTTTGATAAACACGCATTACTTTTATAATTTGAAAAAGATGATGTTTTAGGCACGAACACTTAGATGTCTTTCCTGTTTCCTTACAGTCTGCAAAATGAATGTTCACCGTCGATGTGAGAGCAATGTGGCTCCCAACTGTGGGGTAGACGCCAGAGGAATTGCCAAAGTGCTGGCTGACCTTGGGGTCACTCCAGACAAAATCACCAACAGTGGCCAGAGGAGGAAAAAGGTAGATGGCCGTTCGGTGGTATTTCTCAAGTTCTCTCTGGACTGTCATCTTTGGGCCAGATTCCTGAGAATGCTCTGGAGTGAGGGGATAAGATTCTTGGGTTTAGGTATCTTACTAAAAATAGTGTTTACAGGTAAAGAGGCCAAACAGGTAACATGAAAGTCTCATTTCACCTCAAAATTTGAGGTGGTAAAGGGGGTGACAGAGCAGGTCTTGAGAGGTATATATGGGTTGGGGTACAGCTCAGTAGTAGAGTGCTTTCCTCAGTGTACATGGAACCCAGGGTTCAGACTGTACAAAACAAAAATAAAAACTTTATCAGAGAAAAGAGGTTTGAGATGAGGACTTTGGAGACCCTTCTGGAAAAAGCACATTACTCTAGACACTGAAGCAGACTCACCTGCCTATAGCCCTGTCTGAACTTGGCCCTGTTCTTGTTATAATGAGGGTAAATGGGTGCAGGGACAGGCCCAGATCCTTCTACAGGCAGCAAGCCACAGTCTGTGCCAGTTCTAGCACCAGAATGCCTGGGAAATTGTTAACCCACAGCATGAAACTTCTGGGTCTTTCTTTAGAAATACAATCCCTATGTATCCATGTGACATTCTGACTCTTATTAGAAAGAGCTATGTTTTCCGAAGTACTATTTTGGCTACTCAGGACCCACAGATGGAAACAGAGTTTCCATAGTATGCATCTATAGTACACTCTGCTTTAGCTATGATGCCAGAAATTTAAGAGGTCTTTGGAAAGTAGGTTATGAGAGAACCAGAGCTACATTAGCTGCAGAATCAACCCTGCTGGGGGGCGGGGGTGTTGGTGTGTGGTCCTCCCTATCAGGTGTGGAACATCTCCGTCTCATGGAAGAGCAAGTCTGGCTCTAGGTGCCTCACATTCTTCACTCGTAAATGCTCCCTCTAAACTTGAGCTGAGGTACCTTTCAAGAGGCCTACATTTACCACTCTTCTGGTTTTAGAACTTGCATGTGTTTTTTCAATGGTTCCTCCAGAAAAGACTTGTTTCTAATAATGAGCAGGGCTAGATTAGTTTCATATTTTTAAAGGTCTTGTTCTGTCTTCCCAATCAGAAAAGCTGTTTTCCAAGCATTGCAGAAATTATCCCTCTCATAACTGTGAGTTTTGTACACTGAGTGACTCCCCCAAGTTCTGTGAATCCCACTGGTAGAATGAGACTTTAGTCGATAGCTCAGGGCTCTGGAGTTGCAAAGCAGAGCGTCAGTAGCCAAGAACACTAGGGCCACTGAAGCTATGTAAAAACTGTGGTGACAATGTCACACACATTGATGAGCACCAGAGAGCCCTTCTCAGGTGATTATTTTTTTCCTTGCTAGAATTAAAGTAAGACAGAGACTTCCATTGTCACAAGAGAGGTAAAGGGAAACTCAGTGCCTACATTCTTTCCTACATTTACATGGTCTGTGGCGCTGGTGACGCAGGTGCTATCTACCTGGCTTGGATTTGCAGATACCTGGTGGAAGAGGCCAGTATGGAGATATGCAGGAAGGGGCAGAGGAAAGGCCGAGGGAGCATATTCCTGCCATCTTTACTCCTGTGACAGTCCTGAATCAAAGCTGGGACAAGCCAAGTGGTAGCTTTTAGTATGGTGGTTAGGGGAGGAGTACCTTGATCAGAAGCTAGATGGTCTTTGCAAGAGTGTGAGATCTTTTTCTAGAAAAGACTATGGGAAGACCAATGGCAAAGAGAATATTCATGATTCAAAGTCTACACGAGGACTTAAAGTGCACATGTCAGCACCAAGCCAGGAAACAAATTCACTGGCGTCTTCCACCAAAAACATGCCAACAGACTTGAATACACCTGAAAATATTTATTGGGCATCTGTTTAATGTATATTCCTTTGTGCCAGTCACTAGGGCCAGTGAAAGTACTGGGTAGAGTCTTAGCTTGAAAGAACCTACAGTTTGCCTAAGTAGAGAACCCCACACAATATGCACCTGAAGATGCTGTTGTTGATATAAAGATAAATAAGATCGTGAATAAAGACCAAGCAAATGGTAGAGTCAGCCAGCACCTGACTGAGTTGGTGAGAGAACTTGCATCCCATGGATGGTCAGAGAGGAGCTTTATTGAAGAGGTGGGACTGAGTTTGGCTTTAAAAAGACACTTGTCTTTGGAGAGCATAAACATTGAGCCAGTGACAGCCTCTTGGGTTTGTTTTGTTTTTGTTTCTTTGAACTGGCACGTGAGGCCTGAGGCACATGCTCTAAGTTTGATGGATGCTACTGTGCTTCAGGGCCCCTTATGGTCCTCTGCATGTATCTTGATGCTTTTGACCTCAGAAGCATCCTTTCTGATGACTTTCTCATCTTCTGCCCTTCTCTCTAGCTCGTTGCTGGTGCCGAATCCCCACAGCCGACTTCTGGGAACTCCCCATCCGAGGATGATCGATCCAAGTCCGCCCCCACCTCCCCTTGTGACCAGGGTGAGACTCCTAGATTTTCTCTGTCATTTGTTAGCCAACACAGCTAGCAACCTCCGGTCCCCTCACACCCTTTCTTTGTCCATATGATAGTTGCTCTTTCCTGCTACAAGGCTTTCTTGAGGGCTAGCACCAACTAACTATGCTTGCCTTTAGTTCTTTCTGGGCTAGGGTTAGATGGAGGGAGGGGCATGATGCTACAGTTTGTTATTCCCCCAACTCTCTCCCTAGTTTCAAGTGTAGGGAGCCCTAGAGGAGTCCCACCCTAGGTATACCAATACACTCCCTTGAGTTCCACACTCCTCCTTAACTCTAACCATGGTACCCCAAACCTGGGATCAGTTGAGTTAGGGAGAACGTCTCCTCTCCTGCTCTTTGGGTGGGTAGGTGGGACTAGAAAGATGAATTTAAAGAAAAGTAGGGAGGAGCCAACTCCAGGCCTGACTCTCCTCTTTGGCTGCACCTTTTCCTTCTGTTTAAGTGTGCCTGCGACCATAATTTCTGCAGGCATAATATACGTGGGACTAAGTTTGCAGAAGTCTGAGATGGTGGGACTGAGCAGGGACTCACACATCTGGAGGCTCCTCTTCTGATGGCGGGTCCCATAATCCTTGGGAAGAGATGCATGCACCCACGGAGAGGACTGACCTCACAGCACTGTGGTGGCGGGGGGGGGGGGGGGGCGTGTTTTTTTCACGTGTTTTTGGGGCTTGTTCCTATTTGGATGCTCCTACACAGTGGGGGGTACCAC